TGGGCCAGGTGTGGGTCAGACTCACCGCCAGAAACCTCCCCCGACTCCACACCTCCACCCCCAGTTTCTTGCCCCCATCGCTCCTCAGCTGAGGAGGAAGGGGTCACTGTGCGGGGAAGCTCCTCCCGTATCTGCCCAATCCCCGGTCATCTGGACCCTCCCATATCCAGGCCTCCCCACCACTGAGCCCCACCCCTATACCCAGACCACCCCCTGCCAAGCCCCACCCTCCTGCATCTGAACCCCCACCCCTACACCCAGACCATCCCCCCAGAGCACCCTGCACTCACACCTTCACCCTGACGAGCCCCACCCCGTATACACCTGGACCCGCACCCCACTGAGCCCCAACCAGTTGCACCCAGGCCCCCATCCCACCAAGCCCCACTCCCCCAGCACCCAGACTCTCCCCACTCCCTCGCCCGGGAGCCCCATCTGCTCACACCCAACACCCCCCCGCTGAGCCTCCACCACCGTCACCTGGACTCCCCTGCAGTGTCTCATTACCCCTGCACCCAGAACCTTCTCAATGAGCCCCTGTGCATCCAGATCCCCCACACTGAGCCACCTGCACCCAGAATGCCCCACATGGAACCCTCTCACCCCATACCTGGATCACACACACACTAAGCCCCTCCACACTTGGATCCCGAGCCTGCCTGCCCACAGCTGGTGTGCCTGGTGCAGGGCTGCTAACCCTGGTGAGTTGTTTCACCTGCTACTCCTGAGGGAATTCTGCACCAATAAAATAAAATAAAATTCTGTGCACAATATTTTAAAATCTGCAAATTTTATTATTCAATAAATAAAATGTGGAAGCTCCAGCATGGCAGTGGGGAGCACAGGCCAATGGCTGCATGGAGGTGGGAGATCACCCTACAACCCCTCCTCCCCCAGTCCTTGGGACACTGACCTCTAGGGCAGGCCTGGACCTTGCACTGTGTCAGGGTTGGGTGCAACCTCACTGCCGAATTCATGTCCTGGTCGGGGGGGAGGGAGATGGAGGGTGTTGCAGGGTGATCTCCTTCCCCCATGCAGCCAGTGGCCTGCGCTCCCCATTGCCATTCTGGAGCCTCCCCATTTATTTATTGAAAAATAAAATTTACAGAGTTTTAAAATATTGTGTACAGAATTCCCTCATGAGTGCTGAACTTTGAACACGAATAGGAACTCTACTGAACCACTGCATCTCTTGCTTTTAAGTCCAACTCTAGGCAAACAGAAAAGTCTCATGTTCTTCTGGTAAGGTCATAGACTTTTTTTTTTTTAACATTATTTCAATTAATTTCCCACTCAGGCTATATCAAAAATATAATTATTTCTTCTGAGAACTTTAACCAAAATTCAGTAAACAGTGCTGAACTTGGCTAAAAAGACAAGAAACCTTTCCTAAATAAGTTCTTCATTGTACTGATCAGGTTCAATTATCTTCAGAATTCAAAGCCCCTAAATACTACTTAGTTTTCCATCTTGCCAAAACAGATGTAGAACTTCAGCAAACCAAAATACTAACAAGATGAGAATGCCCCTCTCCTTAAAAAAAAATAATAAAAAAATAAAAAAGGAAAAAAGGGTTGGATGTTTAGCCCAAGTACTGTACCAGGAGCAAGCAAAAAAACCCAAAACAAACAAGAAACCTCATATTACCACACATAGTAAAGCCATGCTTGGGTTTTTGAGAGGCACTGTTCTATAAATTGTTCTTACAGACAGTGATAAGATTTCTCCTCTCTTGCCTACATAAGTAGCTACTTGTGCATTGTAAAAACACAAATACATTCAGCCTAAGCATCTAGAGTCTTGGCACTTACAGGGGACAGTTAAAGAAAATACTCAGGAACCATCTCCCATTACACGTCCTTTCGGACAAGAAGATAAGAGGATACAGTTCAGAGATGTAATGCCTAACAGTTCAATCTGATCATTGTTAGCTTACTTTCCTTCAGGTGACCTAAGATTTTCACGCTGTAAATTCAGGATACTGTATTCAGACACAAGGCAGCCATTGCATACTCAGTTCAGTTATTATTCCTAGCATAGCTTTTTCCTATTAATACACATTCTGAATGGTAGTTGCTTGAACTTAGATAATAAATATTCTTTAAAAATGTATTTTATTCTCTGCTTCATCTCCTAAAGCAAAACCACACACTTAATTTCATCCAGCAGAGCTTCCTAGTGTTGCTAGATTTTGGAACACTAGGCACAAGAAGGAAATTCATCAATGCCTACTGCTGATACTTTTTATGAAAGTCTTGCTGAGGATTTTTGGACCTGAGGTACATATATGTATGGCAGAATTCCTAAAGGTATTGTAGTTTAAGGTGAGAACATTCTAAAGGGAAATCAGTCACAATTTAGATATTCTGTACAGAATTCTATCAAACATGCTGTATGGAAATCCTTGCCAAGCTTTGCACCCAAAACGTTTTTTTAAGAAGCAATGCCCAGTCACAGCATATGACTATATTTTACAATCCATTTTATCCATCTTCCTATTATTTAAAGCAAGAGTAAAGAGCAACAAAAGACAATATTTGGAAACCAAGAAAGCCTAAACCAAACTGCACAACATAAGACTTACTAATTAAAAACCTCTCCTGTTAAAACTCATCATTGAACTAAATACTTACATTTTTACAAGAGAGGCGTGCAGAAGAGAAGGTGAAGAAGAGAAATACTGTAGATTCCAAAAATGTAAACTAATGTTGCAGTAGAATACAATTATTGCACCAAAGCATACCCCCTTTCAGATACCTAAAAATCACAGCAACAAGACTGGACAGGACCTGTAATTAAGCATGGAACACAGCTGGTTAGGGAAATACCTACATCCATCCTCCACCCTACCCAAACAAAAAATAATGCCTCTTCTCTAATGGACACCACCTGAGACTCGTATAAAACAGTCAACATATTAAGGAATTAGTTTCAAACTTAAGATGGGTAAAAGGTGCATCACAAAAGAAGTGGTGAAGTCTACAGAACTAACCTGGACATACCAAAAGCATTACTTCATAATGCAGAATAGCCGTGAGACACTTTTAAAAAAACCCAGGACTCTATATTAGTTAAAAAAAAAAAACCCATAATCTTGTGCATGTTTTCTGTTGTATCAGACAATAGATTATGGAGCTAAAGCCTCCTTCCTCCCCAAATTGCCATTTACACAGCACCATATGTTTTGGTTTCTCCTAATAAATACAAATTTGGAAGACAGACAACAGGAGCTTTGCAGGTAGAGCACAGGAACTCTGAAAGCCCATTTCACAATGATTGCTTTTCACAATATAAAACTTACTTTTCCACACAAATGATTTAAAATGATTTTATCCTCTGATCCTAAAGAGACTTAACTGTCTCATTCAAAAACCTCATTGATACGCAAAGTCCTGTGGTTTACATGAAGTATCCTGAATGTCCTTATTGAATAAGAAGTATCCATGAATTTAAAATAAGGAGCCCCACCGCAGAAGATAAAGTAGAAATACAGTTTTAATTTATACTGACTGCACCTCCAACGCCATCCTGATTAATGGAAATACATTCAGTACACATTTGTGGGATTAAAACATGTTGATTTGCAATTAAATGCAGCTTTTACACTAAATTTTGTATTTTTTGCTAATCAGAAAGATGCACTCTAACTACACACATTTACTTAAGCAATTATATAGCTTAACTTACATTTAGTCAGATTTTTAATTTTTACATTTTTATGATCCATTTCTTATTTACTAAAGGATTTTTTTTTACTTGTGATTTGTCTCAGGCTCTACTTGGATGGATATTCAAACTCAATTAAAATGCACCAAAAAAGGTATTTAAAAAAATAAATAAAAACCACCTTAAATGTGCTGGAAACATAAGAAAAAAAATCAAAAAGTTTAAACATTTTGCACTTTGTTTAATAAGTCAGTTAATTTTAAAGGAAATATTATCTGTAGTTAGTGAATTGAACTGGATTGTTTCTGGTCACTATATCCTTCAAGATTTCAGAACTAGTACACCTCATCCTCACACCTAATTTTCATTCCTAACTTGGAAGAGGAAAAACAAGCTTTCTTGCTTTTTTAACTCCCAATTGCTTTCTGAACTTTGAAAGAATTATTTATTGAAGTAGTTCAATAAACAGAAATGAAGAATATATTCCTCTGTACCTGCAGAAGAGGATACTGCTGTTAAAATCTGGTTTAGCATGGTAACAAACTATGATTCCAGGTACTTAGCCAGTGACTTCCACCAGTTCAGCGGAAACTCTGACAGCAAACGTATTGCTTAACATTATTTTTGTGTTTAATTTTAATGATTAATAGATTGTAGTAAGCTTAGTACTTAAAGACAGGTTGTCAATTCAAATTTAATTTTAAATCAGGTTATTTAAAAAAAATAACCTATATTTAAATAATTTAAATAAAAAAATCCATTTTTTAGAAGTCACTGATTTTTTTATCCATCCTGTTTACTACACATAAAATAATCATGAATTAGTCTCATTTGTTATATTCATTATGAGGCTTTTTGGAGAGTAAAAAATAAATACCCTATTAACAGGCAGTGCATGCATTAATGTAACAAGAATAAGAGCCCTTTGTCTCCCAAGTAAAACATCTAGGATTTTCAACAGAAAACAAACTGAAGGGCTGCTCCTATTGAAATGTTGTTTTCTTTTAAAAGGCCACTTATTTCCCTGATTGTAAGAATGATTCAGTCAGTCAATCTTCTCTTGGGATAGAATGTCAATCTGTGGGGACACCTACTGTGGGTATTAAGATATGGGCATTCATAGGTAGACAAATCAGTGTATATTTTGAAATATTAGAATTTTACTTGGCAAGTGGTAAATTTCTTCCACGCTCACAGACCAACATCATCAGTAAACCATTAAAACAGACAGAATGTCAACACAGAGGATTTCCTCAAATATCCATTTTTCTTTCAAGATTCTCAGGATGAGGAACTTAGCTATCAGGCAGTCTCAAGTGGGACAAAGCACTCACCTCCAGATATCACTTCCTTTAGAAAACACGGAAGACTTGATAACTTCAGGTGCCATCCATGCATAGGTACCTGCTGCACTCATTTTGGTTGTTCTATGCCATTCCCTAGCCAGGCCAAAGTCTGTAATCTTCAAAGTTTTATTACAAATGTCATCATGTTCTATCTTCTGAAGTAACAAAACTGCAGAAAAACAAAGTTTGAATCTGAGAATGTTCTCATGTAGCAAAATACAGGTTTACATTTTAACATTTTAAATACAAATGTTTTATTAATGCAATGTTGTAGTTAACATTTTAAGTGGCCAGAAGTGAGTAATTTTGAGTTTTGATTCCGATAGCCACTGTAACCTCGCACCATGCACCTATGAATTACCAGGTTAATCTACAGCATACTGTGCATGTTTCACTTAGAATTTCTTGACTTGTATTTAAAATCTTAGCTAGAGTGTTGTATTAACATAGATTTGGAATATAGCTTCCTTTATTAAAAAGAGGCAGAGAGAAGTGTGATTGATCATGTGTTCTAACTCACAATGGGAGATCCAGATTACTACCACAATGAATCATATCCTCTTCTGAGCTTGCTCATCACAAAATTTTTATTCAACTGTCCAGTTCCCACAATCCCTGCCCACAACAGCAACTGTTATTTTAGCATTTATGGCATACAGATCAAAGGTTAAGTTACAGATAAGAATAATTAGCGCACAAGTGTTTTCTAGCAATATAAGCTGCAAAGCATGAAATAACAAGGTAACCAAGTAAACTGTAAATGAAGAATTATCTTGCTTTATGAGAAATTTGTTTCAGCAAGAATCTGAACTAATGACCTTGCATTTGTATTAACTGATCACTGTTTTAGTTTGAGGCAGTAAAATAAAAAGTTGTTACTGATATTTCAGAATTCTATCTTAAAACTTAGAGGTAAAATACTGAAGCAAATAGGTCACTTCCAATAAGTTTCTCATCTATACTCTAAAGGAGATACTAAGGCTAACATGAACGTATAGGCTAAGATCTCAATAATTAGTATAAAGAGAACGTTAAAATAATGTGTTATGCCTTTAGATTTGAATGAAAGGCCTATTGTTTTCAATTACATTTCAAATGAGTTCAGTAGAATTCCTGAAATTCCTTATCAGTCAGTGTGACCGAAACTAAAAACAGTGAATCTTGCACAAGTTAATAATTGGAATATGGCCAAGTTTCATTCTACAAAAGGGCTTGTAGCACTTCAAACTTCCGTTTCCTGCTGGTAGTCAGAAAGAACTACATTACTGTATATATACACATTAATCAGCTGGGAAGCAAAATGCTCAACATAACTAATAAACCCAGGCTCAGGGCAAATTCTTCCAGACTGGTAACCTAGCAATCTGTGTTAGACTATCCTTTTGTGACTTCTGCAGATTTCTGACCCTCATTAGCTTCATTCCAGAACTGGCCTTTACAACCTCGTTAGCCTGCTCACTCAATCCTGAGCTAATTGTTTTTCTAATCCCTATTTAGAAAATATATTTTCATAAACCAAGAAGTTTATTTACAGCAGGTATTAAAGCAGGGTGAAAAACAGTTTCAATTTATCACCTATTTACTCAAAATTTAGAAGTGCATAACAAGTTATATATTTTTTGTTGAAAATAATCATATTTACATTACTACTCTCTCATGTCTAAAATTTAAGCATAAACCATTTCAGAGCAAGCTCCAAAGACACATTTTAAAAAGTTTACACTGCCAACAATAAATCTGTCATAATTAGATAAAAAAAGCACCAATGCAGATCATAAGTAATTCATACACCTGTCCTCTACAGATAGTATATCCAAATTTTTAATCAGAAAAACCAAAAGCGACTAATCAGGACTACTCAAAACTGAAGGATTGGTGCCCCCCAAGACAGCGCAGACACTAAATAAAACTATTGCCTGCTGGCCCAAGTAAAAGCTTGTGCATACTTCCTCCTCTTCTCCCCCTCCCATCCCCACACCAAAAAGTCAAACATTTCAGCTGTAACAAAACAGAGCTACAGAATGAGTCCTCTCTTTTGTAAGAGTAGCATATTTATCAGATTGGATGCTTGAAGAAAAGTCTCTCTCCTTCCCTTCTTCAGTATCCTGTTCCCTTCTCCAGTACTGGGAAGTGATCAGCAGCCCTATGGACAAGTGTTCAGAAGCAGTTTAAAGTATTTGCTTTCTGAAAATTATGGCAACCTAACATGCTGTTTAATTCAAATGCTACATTTCTTAATGCAAAACTAAAGCCTGAAATACTTGCTATTCAAATGTTGCCTGTGCTGAACAATGAAAGGGTGACTATTTTGACCACATTTTAAAATAAATAAATTGTATAAAAACTACCGGTTGTGTCACTTTTACTCCTTTCAACTAAGTTCCTGTCCTTTGCCCTCAAATATTTCCCAGTGTCTCTTCTAGACCACAGCCCTTCACACAACTCTTTAATGGAAGAGAATTCTGTGCCATTTTGACAGAACCTCAAAAGGGGCAAGTCTCCTTGCCCCCAACATCCTCCCTCTCTTTAGATATTGAAAGCTTTTTCCTCTTTGGGACAGGCTGTATGGAATTCCCAGTCTGAGATCCAAATTGTATAATTAAAAAGAGGATTAAGATGATAGGATTTAGACGGATCGTCTAAATCAAGAGAAACAGTATATATAACACAAACTGCTAGCTTATCTAGTCTAGGCATTACAGTAATATAAACAGTTACAAACTAACCTGACACTTGATAAACTAGGGAGGTACTATAGGTTTAGTTACAGTCTATATAGAAAATCTCTCAGTGACAGCTTTCTTCTCTCACCCTCTTGCATCTCCCAGTCTGAGGCTTCTTTGAGCAAAGCAACATCTGATACATCCACTTTTTTCTTTCCTCTTAAGTACAGGTCTGTTCGCATCTTATGCGCATTTAACATGCGCGATTTCAGCTTTATGCGGTCGGCAAAAACAAAAAAAATACAAAAAAAAAAAGAGAAAAATAACAATTTTAATACTATACCTGTAGTGTGGGCGATTCCACCCGCCATTGAACTAAATGTAATTTTGACTATACGCGGTTTTTGCTTTATGCGCTAAACGTGGAACGGAACCCCCGCGTAAGATGAGACTCGCCTGTACCTAGCTTCTCCTAGGATCTTTGTGTCCTAATTAACTGCCTCCTTTCAGTTACAGACTGTGATCATTTTGATCTTCAAGGAGGTAAGAGTTCATTCTCTCTCTCTCTCTCATATGACGGTACTTACACAGATGTCCTGGCCTATCATCATACTAGTCAAGCCTCCACCAATGTGGCACTCCCCAGCTTTAATACCAATGTGTTCTTCACTGCTTCATTTCACTCCAAATACTCTTTTCAAGGTAGTTTCCCACAACTACAAACTTCCAGGGAACAGTTACTTTCTCCCCACCTCCTTATGGTCCCTTATTGAGAAGGAATCCTTTTGGAATGCTAATTAACATTTTCTAATGTTTACTGTCCCTGACCCAGGAAACAAGTAGTAGCTTATTAAAGAGACTGGGGGAAGGGCAGGGAATTTTAATGATTATTTATGATTTCTAATTGCAGTAGCACAGTGAATAGGGACCCATTGTGCTAGGCCTTGCACTGACATAACAAAACGATGGCTCCTGTCTAAAAGAGCTTACAATGTAAATTATAGGCCATGTCTACACTTAGCAGGAATCTATGCTGCTGTGCGATCAACGCAGTGGGGTTCGATTTAGCAGGTCCTGTGAAGACCTGATAAGTCGATCACAGAGCACTCTCCTCCAGTACCTCACTCCTCTCCTTCCAGTGGAGTAAGTCGATGGGAAAGTGTCTCCCGTCAACTCAGCGCAGTGTAGACACCACAGTAAGTCGACCTAAGCTACGTTGACTCTGCCAGGTTATTCACATAGCTGGAATAGCGTAACTTAGAGATTGTTTGAGAGTGGAGGGACACAGAAGAGTACAAGGAGCTCCAGAACATACCAATGCAGGATCCAGGCACACAACAGACATGAGGTGAAATCCTACTCCACTGAAATGAACGATAAGACCCCCGCTAACTCCAATGGGGCCAGGATTATACCCCAACTGCTTCCTTAGGTACTGAGGTGAAGGGCTAGCTAGTGTGGTTACAAGTGCTTCACAACACCAAAGAGTGTAGCCAAGGAATCCCCAACCCTCCTCAATGCAATGTTCCTTAGGGAGGCCAGGGTGGAGTTTTAGTTTGCAGCATATACAGGAGATTTCCCATTAGCACTAGTGAGCTCTAATTGTTAACCTTCTAGTTACACTTGTTCATTCTCTCCAAGTCTAATACATCAGCCTTTTTCTTCTATGTAATAAAAAGTACAGTTTATTATATTTCTCCAATTATGGGCGCTCTTCTATAATCCTATTTAATATAAATATGAAGCAATTGCTTACATCTTTTCTGTTTGACAAGGTTCATGAAATCTGTGGATTGTTTGTAATGTAGTTTTGGAAGAAGTTCTACTGCATACTCTGATGATTTTAGCTGATCTGCAGTCCATAGCAGTTTAATTCAAAAAGTTGTTAGCCTCTCTCCTAATTTTGACCATGGAGAGACCACAAAGACAGTCATACATTTGAGAGTTGCTGTTGACAATCATTGGCTGCACTTTGCCTGAACTTTCTTTTGATGCTTTGATTACAAAAACTTCTCCAGGAGTAGCTAAGTCCTTTTTATCAAGTTTTTGCTATTGGTAGATGCAAACAGAGGACCAAGGCCATTCACACTTTGTTTTCTTTAGTTAATAGTGAGTTCGTTTCTGCAGCACCCTCTGCTACTGCCTTATCTAGGACTTCTCTAAATATCTCAGTCTTGTGCATTTTGCAAATACAAGCTAGTTTGCTTAGCCATTAACCTAGCAAGATTAGAACTGAAGGTACCTACGTGCTACTACATTTGCTGCCACCGATAGTCACGGATCTTTGAGACTACAGGAGTGCAAATTATATATTATGGTTATACCACATATCCCATACTTCTCACTGCTACAGGTTGACTAGAAGTTGGACCATATAATTTTTGGAGGGTGGCAACATCATCACTTCCCTCTCAAACTCAGTTTAAGTACTGCTTGTCAATTGATTCAGTGCCTGTAAATTCCAAATGAACATGAAATAGAGTTGCTTATCTTGCATTTTTACTTG